GACTTCGGGGAAGAGCGTTTGGGAAATCTAAGTAACGGCCTATTTTCCCCCATATTTACCCTGCTTTCGAATTTGAAATCTCAAAATTCGCAGATTTTATATGTCTTATATATTTTGATTGATTGATTGTTATTGCTTCTTTCTTCTCGTTTCCTTTCCAAATTGCAAATTACATCTTTTCCATCTTAGGCTCAACTCGCTTTTGTCCTTTTGATTCTCCCTATTTATTATTCTTTTTCCCGTGGTTTTTGAGCCTGTTCTGTTTTCTCTTCTATTACGTTTTTCTTTTTTGTTTCTCACCATGCTGAGTGCTCCTTTTCTTCTCTTCCCTTCTATTATTATTATTCTTCTCCTCTTACTGCCTATTCCCCTTTCCACTCTCAAAGCTACAACTTGCACTGGATCAAAATAAAATCCAACGTCACTCCCCTCCTCTTAACTGACCCACATATCTACCGATCAACCAACCTACCGGCACTCACCAACGAAATAAGCAGCAAGTGCTGCTCTTTCTTTATTAGCCCCTCTTACTCATCTCTAAATTTTTACTTACAACAAATCTCAGTAATGTTTTTACTTTATTATTTATTATTTATTATTTATTCCCTATTTTCTTTGACAATTTCTACAATGATTTGCCGTTTTCCCCTTACTTCTATCATACTCCACTTATTTCAATTAACGGGGCGGGTTCCCTATTTTTGTTCTATTCTCTATTTTTATTTTTATTTTCATTTTTTTTGAGACAAACAACAATAACAATAAACAACAAATCATCCCATTCTTATTTTGATGCACTTTACTTTCTCGGTTTCTTATTGCGTTCATTGCTTCTTTTACTTCTGCTATCTCAACATTTCCTATTTGAAGACACTTCAATTATGTACTTATCTGCCAGTGATACGTACAAGTTTGGCCGGAACGACTCGATTCTTTCATTTGCTGTGTGAGAGTGAGCGCCCTTTTTCTTTTCCCCTTCGCTCTTTTTATGTTTTATGCTATGTCTCAATTTTATCTTACTTCGAAGCTTTTATTATTTTCCCCCTACCTTTCAGTCATCTTTCATCTCATCTTGTCCTTTTTTTATTCTTTTACTATTACTATTCTCATTGTTCCTCTGTTATACGTCTTTTGCCTATTTCATATGAGCCATGCAAGCAAGATCTTTGCTTCTTCTTCTTTACAACTGAAATATATAGCTGGGATTGGAGATAAGGGGTTAAATGGCAATCAGATTGAGTACTATCAGATTTTTTTCACTTACTTCTTTGTATATAATTTATTCTTGGGATTTTGAGAATGAAATGAAAATTTGTTTTATTTCTCCCATTATTTTTACCATGTTCTTATTACTTACCTAGTGAAGGGCCTCTTCTACCAACCTTGAAACCATCTTTCTCCAGCCTCATTCTCTGCTTACTCCCAGCTCCTATTTCGATATGGCAGCCCGGTTGTTGCCCAGGCCCTTGACAATTTCTTACTTCGCCCGCAACATGCCCCTTCTCTCCGCGGGACCCCCAGAAACTTTCTCTTAACTAGGCTGCTGGGCTGCTAGGCTACATTATGTAGTGCTGTGTAGCCCGCCGGTCGAACCCGGGCGGGCGGCAATGTGCATAAGCGACTAAGCTTTTCGTTCCCGTTGGAAAACCTCCCGTTCGTAACAGGCAAGTAAATCATTAGGGAGGAAGGCAGGGAGGGATGGATGAACATGGTTGATTGCTTTTGGAAATATCTATGGAAATGGAGGGAAAGTAGCCGTGGTTGTACGAAGTTGCAGTTCACGGGTCCGCAGCGGGTGTTGGGGTAGTAGTTAACTAGTTGTTGTAATCGTTTACTGTGTAAGTTGCCACTAGGCTTGCCGGAATCCACAACTGAGGATCTAACCACAGTGGCAACATCATCGGGCTGCGTAACTGTGCTGGCTGCTGACAGTATGCAGCTATTGGTACATGTAAATGTACAGCGTACACATGTATATGAGATCATCTGGGAGAACATTACAATTCACTCTACGGAGATTGCTTTATTAGTGTCTGCTCTTGCTCTTAATTTTTAGGGCAATTTTTGCTTGGCTGGGCTGGCAATGGGTGCTACACCTCATGCGGTAGCTAGCAGATGGAGCACACACATATATACACAATTCAAAATCAATATTCAAGATCAATGAGATTTCAATGAAGCAAACTAGAATTCTCTCTGAGATCAACACACTATGTAGACAAGAGCCTATTAGACATTGCATAGAATGTTCATATGAAACATACATCTCTCACAAATTCAACCATGCTTCCCCCCGCTGCACTGCATATCTCCAAATGTAACCTAGATGGATGGAACCTCATATATATATGTTTCCATCTCACTCCCACTCCTTCTCTGAGTCGATGCTTCCATGGTTCCACCTGCTTTGAAACATCGTCATCCCCATTACAGTACTAGGCCAAAAGGACTGACTGAGAGTTATGGGAAACAAAATAAAAAGGTTCGACCATGAAATTGAATTTTCAGAATATTAAAAGGAACTAGAACTTTTGCTTTATACACGGTATAATCGCCGTAAATTTCAATTCATTCCAGTGTCAAACGCAGATTTGACATGGTATATATTCGGAAGGAGGAACTCCTTTCCGTCGCGCAATTCCCACGTCACCAGAAGAATTCCCATTACCCAATGGGCTCAGTAGGTATACACAAACTCCGGATGCTTATCTCCCAACTCAGTCAACTGTGCCTGCAACCCCACACCCAGCACATCTCCCAGAACCTCATCGGGTTTCTCTAGTTTCCTCCGATTCAACCTCCTCAACCACCCTACCTGCACCCCACACAACACAATGGTAATCACAAGTAGCGCTAGGTTAAACTTCGCCGCGAACAGGTAATATGGCGCATCCTTGCGCGGGTAGATCCACGTACTAACAATCCCGCCCGAGTTCGTACTGACAAAGACCATCGCAATGGCCGTTGCGCGCCGCACATGGCCCGCAGTGTTATTCGTCACCCAGCTTATTAAGCTAGGCGCGGTGGAGTAGACGCCCGTGATGAGCAGGAAGATGGAGGCGTACCTGCTGGCGGTCAAGCGGACTTTGAGCGCCATTCCTGCGCCTACTAGGGCGATAATGCTGGTGCTGACTGCCGCGGCCCCGCGCTGCTTGTACCTGTCCGCGAAGTACGCGGCGATCATGGTTGCGACGAAGGCGCAGGCGAAGGGCGGGACGGTGAGCAGCTGTGTGCGTGTCGGGCTGTATCCGAGCGCTTGGACGATGGATGGTGTAAAGTAGGAGAGGCCGAAAAGGTTAGCGCCGCTGCAGAAGAGGATGGCGCACATGATAAGAATGTGTGGGTCTTTGAAGGCGGAGAGGACGCGGTTCAAGGTTACGGTTTCGTTGTCTGGGAGGTTGGTGTCGAGGGCTAGGCGGCGGGTGCAGTGTTCGACTTCTTCAGGGTTGAAGAGGGAGACTTCGCTGGGGTTGTTGGGTAGGATGAAGAAAGATAGTATACCGAAGAGTACGGTGAAAAGACCTTCGAGGAGGAAGATCCATTGCCAGCCGCGGAGGTTACCGACGCCTTCCATGTTTTGGATGGCGGCGGCGAGGAGGCCGGAGAAAGCGCCGCTAAGGGCTGCAGCGGAGAAGAATAGACCGACCCGCACCTGCAGCTCATGACGGCGGTAGAAGGAGGATAGGTAGAGGACAATCCCAGGGAATAGACCTCCTTCGAGGAGTCCGAGGAAAAAACGAGCGACAATGAGGCCAGGGTAGTTATTGACCTGCGACTGGAGAGTGGTGACGATGCCCCATGAGAGACAGAGGGCTGGGAGTAAGATACGGGGCCCGATCTTTTTGATGAGGAGGTTTGATGGCAGCTCAGCTGCGATATATGGGACGTAGGTCACCGTGATAGCTGTTCTTGTGTTAGAAGCTATTTCACTTTTTCTTTTCGTTATTTTAGATGAAGACCTTCTCTCACCTGTTTGATATTGCAAGTCCGTGATACCGAGATCTTTCTGCAGGCCAGCCTACATGCGAAATTTCTCCGTCAGACACATTTTCCATTATTCAGCTGGATATGCCTCGACTCATACCACACGAGCATTGCCAATATTAGCTCTGTCAAGGAAAGCAAGCAAATACAGCATCCCCATCATTGGCACCAGCAGAAAGTCAAGTTTAAGCAGCAGCTTTCGATCCAGCTTCGTCTGCTCTTCTGGCAACATCTCGGATGGATAAGGGGAGGTGTTGTCCGAGTCCAAGACGATGATGGCCTTCTTCTCTAGATCGACTCTTTTGGAGGAAGCCATCTTTACCTTACTCCTTGCTTAAGAGCTAGATTTCTAAGTAGCTCGATAGCTTTCTGGGGCGGGAGGGAAATAAGGAATTATTGGATAGCCTGCACCATGCGGTGTTGCACGATAGAGACGGATTGTCACGGAGCGAACGAACGACTATTCAGGGAGCATGGTGAGGTAAAGCTTGTTACTGGCAATCCGTATGATATCTTGCTACCGCGAGTGAAAGGCAACAAACAACACTTCATGAGAAAAGAATTAATGTGACTCAACCACCCAATGAACTCATCCACTCAATGAACTAACGTGATCAACCACCCAACGCCCGCTTACACCCAACGCCCGCCATTTCACTATCACTATGATGAAATATTTTCAACAATATCTCAACAACATAATTAGATTTTTGTAAGAAATCCCCGCTCCTCGCGGATCCTTTACCCCTATTCCTATCTCTCACATAATCAATAGGGTTAGCAGCCCTTGGCTACACACAACTTATATAGACTGGAGTTCATGAATACTATTCATAACTCAGCTTGAATACTATTATATATTTAATCTCTACATTTATCTTTCTACTGTGTATACTTCTAGTAACTATTAGTATATATTATATCTAGACTGGCCACCGGGACCATGAATTTCATGTTTGGTCCCATTTGGTCTGATCTCATACATTTCTTGGTGTGAATCCCGCTGGGACTAGTCATTAAAAAAACATGCAAAGTGACTATATATCAGATCTTAAAATGAAATCATGACTTGAAAAAAATGAGAAAGTGGTTTCATTTGATCTCATTTAGTTTCATTCTTAATATAAAGTTACTATTTTTAGACATTTTAAGGGTTTTTTTAGACTATTTTTAATTTTTTAAAAAGTAATGCTTTTTAATAATACTTAAATAAGATTTAAAGTTATTTAAAGTAATAAAAATAATTTAAATTGAGAAGTAAAAATCATGATCTTATTTAAAAAATATGATAAGAGTAGACAGTAAGTCTCACTGAGACAGTATGAAACTACTATCTAATATTAAAACTATGTAATGAGATCAGTTGAATTGATAATAAGACTATTAAAAAATCTAGTTCTGATTTCAGACACAGTTACACAGTCAGTCTAATTATATCAAGCTATAAACATCTGAATAATCATTTATAAGTATTTATTCTTATATTTCAAGCTCTGTCAGTCAGTAATCATCTATTATAACTGAAAGAACTAGAAACTTATATACTTTAATCTCTATATACTCTACTACAGATACTTAGAAGCAGCTATCTAAATTATAAATAATCTCTATAAAAGAAGTCTTAGAGAATTTATTAATTATTTATAGAATATTATTCTTTATATTTATAATAGAGAAACTCTCTGAATTTATAAATAAATTAATTTTAATAAAGAATATTTTTAAGTATTTCTTATAAAATTAAGCTATTTTTTTATAAGAAATACTTACTATCTGTAAATACTTTTAAACTGAGTCTCTAGATATAATCTTCAGAAATACTTATAAATTAAAAAAAAAAACTTTTTTAAATTATAACTTCTTAAGATTATCTATTAAATTATAATCTATAAAAACTTTTATAAGTTTATCTTTAAAATTAACTTATAAGTCAGACTATATAATATAAAAGATGAAAAAGTTATTATCTATATAATAATAGATCTTTACTATACTAAAGTTAAGAATTAACTAAATTATTTAAAGAATAATTATAAAAGATCTTACTAATTCATTTTTAAAATTAATGTAAAGAATAAATTAAGAGATTTTATAAGCTGAATTTAACTAGTTACTGAGATTATAAATTTCATATTTGATTTTATTTAATCTAATCTCATACATTTCTTGATATGAATTCTGCTGAGACTAATCATTTAAAAAACATACAAAGTAACTATATATCAAATCATAAAATGAGATCATGACTTAGAAAAAATAAGAAAGTGATTTCATTTAATCTCATTTAGTCTCATTCTTAGTATAAAGTTACTATTTTTAGACATTTTAAGATTTTTTTAGCCTATTTTTAATTTTTTAAAAAGTAACACTTTTTGATAATACTTAAATAAGATTTAAAGTCATTTAAAGCAATAAAAAATAATTTAAATTGAGAAGTGAAAATCATAATCTTATTTGAAAAATATAATAAGAGTAGACAGTAAGTCTCACTGAGACAGTATAAGACTACTATATAATCTTAAAACTGTGTAATAAGATCAGTTAAATTGATAATAAGACTATCAAATATTTCAATTGTGATCTCAGACACAGTTACACAGTCAGTCTAAGTTAAATAGAGAATATTTAAGCTATAATTATTAATATTAGAAAAAGAAATAAAAAATCTGATAAAAACTACTTATAGTATTTTATAAAATTATAATATAAATTAAAATTTATAAAAATAAAGCTTTGAAATAAGATTTAAATATTAATATTTATAAAAAAACTGAATAAAAATATATAGAATAAGTTTATTAAATAAGACTTTAAGTTCTTAAGTCTGAAAAAACTAATAATTTTTATTTATTATTTATAAATTATTATAAGAATAATAAATTTATAAAAAGTAAATTTTTAATTAACTTTATAAGAGTCAGAATAATAGAGAATAGATTTACTGAAAAAAGATAATTGTAACAGGCTACGCCTGATTAATTATATAGACTATTTTATTACACTTTATAGATTTCACTGAAAGCTCTGATTCTCAGTCTGCTAAAAAGCTTCAATCTTCAGTTGCTGATTCTTAGCTGAAAAACTTATGAAATTTCTATTCTTCTACTCTGAAGCTTCACTATGTACACATATTCTTTCACTTTGAAGCTTCACTGTATATACATATAAATATTCACTCTGATTACTGATTCTCACACTTTCTCTTTCTTTTCTTCTCTAACATTTTTCACTTTGTTATATAAGATCTATATATTATATCAATCTATTCAGTGTAGGCCTCTTATACTTGAAAAATGTTTATCATCTTCTCATTAGAAATGATTACTTATCAAGAAGATATTCAAATACATAATAATATGTAAGAAATAGAGAAATAATTAATCAGTTAAGTAGATATTAAGTTCTCAGATAGAAGCTTACTTATCAGTCACTCTGACCTTATAACAAGATCTTATAAAGAGAATATAATCTTATAAAGAGAATATCAGTGAAAGATCTGAGAGTTCTGACACTCTAGATGTATAAGATATTTATATAATTACACTTCTTCAGATATCACACATTCAACAAATAATATAATCATATCTAATGATAATATGAGAGAACTCTTGAATGCAAGCATAGATACAGTATCACAGTAACTCTGAGCAATGTTGAAATCACAACAGTAATAGATAGCTGATATGCATGCAACTCAATAATATTAATATGAAGAGATTCAATGATTATCTCAATAAGAAATCTCTGCACAGACAATTTCAACACTGACAGAATTGAATATAAACACAATGTAAACACTGAAGAAATGCTTAGATACTTCTATATATTTTAATACTTTTGATCTCACTTTGTACTCATCATGAAGATTGAAAATACTTATAAAACTAAGTGTAGATGAAGATGCCATCAGTTCACTAATTAATCAAGATTGATATATCAATGAATGATTGAAGAATTGCATGAAACAGAAGTTTCATCTATGAATGAAAGCATGTGAATCAGTATTACATATGTCTGAAAATATTATTAAACATCTTAATGTTCTGTTCTGAGACACTGCTATACAATAGAAGGTATTAGATTGATTACAGAGTGTCTGACAGAGAAATACTTCTCTTATAATATTCATCTCTGATTTTGACATCAAGATTCTAGAAGCAGATAGTCAATCTTGAAAGAATAGAATGAAGATTAGCATGCTTAAGAAGACACTAACTTTTGAACTTCTACAGACTCTTATAAGTGTAGATAAAAATCAGACTTATGAAGATTTCTGCATATAATTCTGAACATTGAATAATCATCTTACTAAGCTTAAGAGTATACAGAACAGCAGCAGAAGAAGTTACATCTCAGCTATTTATATATCTGTGTTAAAGAATAACAATACAGATGTCATGAATTAAATGAACTTAAATATCTATATATAAACAAGAGTTTTCACTGTCTGAACAGGCTTTCAAGTCTTCAGAATCACTTCTGAAGAAGTCACTGATTAATATCAATGAGAAGTGTGTATCAATTGTAACTAACTAGAACATATCACTTTTAACTGCTGATCAGTCTATATATCTTCTTATTTAAAAGAAAGATCAATGCTGGTGATATATATCAATCACATTACATTGAAGAAAGATTCAGAAGATAACTATGAAGATACTCTGATAAAACAGGGAAAAGATTAGCTTCTGTTCAAATTTGTAAACAGAAGCTTGAAGAGATTGAATAATAACAATTTAAAGAGAAAATAATAATGAATGTGATTCTTGTATCTACTATAATCAATAACATGTATAATATGAAAGTCATAATAGACAGCAGTCTATCATATTATGCAATAATTAAATCTTCAGTTATAAGACTGATAGTCTTTAGGAATCTTATTAT